AGGGAGAAGATATGACAGAGCTAGCGAATCTGGTTTTGGCTTGAGGTTAGAATGAATTCTAATATACATTATGTGCTAAAAATATTAGCTTCAGAAATCAGCTGTGATGCATTTCAAGGCTAAATTTATGCCGGATCTCCAAGAAAGCAGGATTTTATTCTGTGTACTTCTGAGCCACTGTGCAAAGGGTCTGCCCCTTGCACTGCCCTCTAAGTCATTCTAATGGAATCTCTCCCTTGGGAGTTACAGGTTTATCCTTCTCAGCCTGAATTTCAGAGAAGAATAACATTTCGGGCCCAGCCCTTTACTACATCTCTCAAACCTAATATTGCTTGCTGAAGCCTATAGATTTTCAGCTGTCACTTTTATATTAGTTTCTGTGGGTTCAGCAGCAGTTGTACAGTTACTACTGCCCTTTCACCCTGCATTAGTTGGGAGCTGAAGAATACAAATATCTAGCTCTCTGTAGCTGTGTGTCAGGTCTCACTTCAGATATGCGCAGTGGGCTGAGTCACCCATCTGCAGAGCAGAAACCCTCGGATGAGTTGTTGGACAACTTTTGTGCTACTGAAATGGAAAGGAGAGAAGAGGTATGGTTTCCACACATTCAGGCACACGCATTGACCTAGTGTGTCCATAATTACTGTCACTCAGGTGGACACCTCAGGTTCCCTGGCAGATAAGAAATATACTCCAGTTCTGTTATCTTTCTTATGGTGTCTTTGTGCTGTTGTGGGAAAGCAACAATGTGCGCATCATTTTCTGTAATGCAGTAACCTGTATTGCTGTAGCCTGCTTACAGATCTTTCCATTTGCACAATCTCCAATTTAGAGACTGGGAGGAAAGAAACTGTACTATTCAGGGAACATCATCATGTAGTACGGAGTGAATTTTCTCTAAAAATCCAAAAGATAGGAGGATGATTGCTTAGAAAGACTAAAAAGCCTCCATAAATAAAAAAGGAAAAAAAAAAGGCCATTATTTAATTTATTAAGAGAGACAATAAGCATCAAAATGAAATTACGAGGTGAGCAGGTGCTTTCTCCTTTACATATGTTGCTTTTCATAGTATATTTCTTCTTTTGTAACTGAGATAGTCTTTTCACTATTCTTTGAAAATTCAGGAATATTGAATGTCACATAAAGTTATAATTGTAATATAAGAATAAAGGAATGCTGTGAGATAGAAGTGAAACTTAAAAAAGAGAGAGACAACAAGCTCTAGCACATGAAAGAAAAACTTTTCTTTCCTGGGAGACAGACCACAGAAATAAATATGTATCTAGCTGACATTTCTTTGTATCTTATTCAAGCAGAATAAAACTAAAATTATCTCACATGCCTATAGGCTGCCCTGGTGTAAGGCACAGAAATGTAGAAGGGATTATTTCATATGTGCATTTTCATTTGCTTCCTTTCTAAAATACAAAAGCAGCTCATTCTAGTTGCTGAGAAATCATTTGGTAAAATAAATCCTTAAAAATAGAAGACATTTCCACTTAAATATTTTTTCAGACAATTCATGATAAAAGTGAAGTATTTTGACCAGGGGCAAATCCAGATGCTTAGACTGACCTTGGAAAAAACATTACATGAGCTGGCTAAAACCAAAATATCATTTGGAAGGAATGCTATACATGAATTTTCCTCTTAGAGCTTTCTATGCTGGAGCAACAGTATTGATATTGAAGGAAAGTGTGCAGTACTAATCAAAATCATTATTTTTTTTAGCAGAGCTAAAACCTACAATCTGTCCTTTATAAGTAACTGTCAGCCTTTCTTTGCAACCTGGTGGTAAGACAAGTAAGAAAAAGATGAGTGATTTGTTAGAAACAGTCTAATTTGCTTAGTGACACATGCAGGAGCAAGGCTTGAAAGATCAGGTACAATTTAAAGAAACTGTGAGATAAATGTGCCTTGTAAATTCATAATTGTACAATGTCCTACCCAACCTGGCACTCAGTGGAAAATACAGCAGTGATCATCACTTTAAAAAGAAACATCTGGAAGCATGGCTGCTGTTTTGCTCCTGCAACCGCTTCAGTTTTATAACACAGCCTGATGATCAGATCATTTACTCAGGACACGAGAGGACTGTGTTCTCAGTTTTGAAACCCCGTGTCTTCCACTTCCCCAGACAGTGCATTAACCACCAGGGTTAGTGCTTTGATCCCCCGGTTTAAGTTGTCCCACGGTGCACCAAAAAATGTAAGCTGGACAGCCACAGGAGAGTATGACACTGTGGCCTAGAGATTAGAGATGCTTGGATGGATTCAGACTCTCGGGGTTATGTCAGTTCTTGCCTCAGGAGATTTGATATGAAGCCTGGCAAAATGCTAAAAGCACCCATTCTCCTTTTTTCTTCTATAATTTTAAAGGGAACTGGGTGCCCGTTCTTAGCCAAAGACTGAAATTTGAATGTTTCTGCTCACCTTTTTCTAAGTTTTGGAAATTGGTCAGAGTTCAGACTCACATAAAACAATTATTTTATCTAGTTACTCTTCTGTCTAGCATGTAGATATTATTTGTAACTCCTCCAAGGTGTCTATTTCCCTTCCTGTACTGCCTGTAGAGAGAAACCAGTTTTGGGCAGGTAAATTCCTGCTCTTGAAGGTCTAGGATCTTGGAAGTTATGTCACTGTGCCTGTCGTCTTTGGGTCTGTCCCAAAGTCATTTCAGGGAACTGGTTTCTTGTTCTTGCAAACCTAACTGGTTATTCTGCTATCAGACACGTAGGTACAGCCAGAGCTCCCACATGCTGCAAAATTTTCTGCCTCAGGCCAGCTACTTTGCCCATAGTCTCTATTTTTCAATGTCTGGAGTAACAGGTAAAATAGAATTAGACAGGGCAATATGGGGAAACTTTATTACTTGTAACTTCCTTATGAAATCAAGTTTGATCTTTCTCTGTAACTAGAAGATTTTGAAGCACTCATTTGTATTTTGTTCAGCTCTTCTTTTGTGAACATTGCCTTTCTCTACTATGTGAATGTGCAGCAGGGAATTTACTCCCACTGAACTGAATGATTAAAAACAAGACTTCAGTGAAGAATGTTTTGCTGGAAAATACAGTAAAACTTCTACAGTGTTATTCAACTAATAAGTGTTGGTTCCCTGTGGTGTAGTTTGTGGGAATTGTGAGCTCCTGCAAGGTTTCTATAAAGCAAAACAGATGCCTGTTTGTTCAAGAATGCTCAGTTGTTGTATGACCTGTCCTCACAAGGGCTGAAAAAGAGGAAAAATACAGTTGAGTTTTATGAAGTTGTTTAAGTAAAAATTTCATAACTTTTAAAAATTATACCTTCTGATTGTTCAAACACTGTGATGCTTTCTGTTTGAAGCATAATTGCATATAGTGAATATTTACTTATTGATCCTAAAACTGTAAATCTAGATCTGACATTAAGATGGGTACTTATAATTTATCTGTTTTTCTCCTGTCATTGATTTTCACAAACTTCAGATTGCTGGAATCTTTCAAAGAATGCTTTACTTTGTTTTATTTTTGTTCTTCACATCATTAGGAGGATTTTTCTGCTAGGAATCTCTTCCAAAATCCTCTCATTTTAAGGGGAAAAGGCAATTCCCAAATACTTCATGTCACAAGGAAAATGAGTATTTAATGCATATCTGTGCCTTCCTCCTCGCACATCCTGTGTTAGCTCAGATCATAGCATCAGACAGTACCTTTGGTTTTGTCTTTTTGTCTGTGTGTGTGTGCGCCTTGAAATGGCATAGCTGCTGTATGCTTTCCATCCTCTTTTATGTTCTAAGCGAGATATCAAGGGAGGTGATAGGTACAATATATGATGGCTTGAGTTAACAAATGCTAATTTTATTTTACATAAAAAGTATTGATGTTAACTGAGAGATAATTCTGCAAAGCCTGTCTTGTCTAAGCTGGTTTTACCTTCTCTTCTGCTCTCAGGATATTTGTGTATAATGCAAATAGAGCTTTATGATGAGATTATTTAAAACACACGGAGTTGTAATTTTGGTTTTTCCATTGAAATTCTAGTATAACACCAGGTTTGGTCAAACTGTCAGACCTTCTTTGCGTTAGAAAGCTATCAAGTCCTTTTTTCTTTCTGTGTTTTGCTGCGTGATTTCAATGTCAAGCTATCTGTGCTAATACACATTCCTTTAGGCCCGGAATCGTTGGAAGATGCTAGAAATTTTTCCAGTGTTATGGCTGATGGTCAGATCATACTCACATTTTATCCCTAGCTAGATGGTACCTTTTATGGACATCTTCCTCCTCTTAATGCAAGGGCTTTACAGCCCTTCACAAGATTTTCTGGGAGGTGTTCCTCTGATCCAAGGTGCTGCCCCAATTGAGGGGGTGAGGGCTGTGTAAGTGACATACCCTATGTGGGTACATGGGCATATACATATATACATATATATGCTTTGCAATCTTCTACATTTCTCCCTTGTAGTAAACCCTTTCCCTAATCCCTTCTAGGATGATTAGGTAAAAACTACAGTTATGTAGCTGTAACTTGTTGGCATACTGAAGAGCTAGGGCAGGAATCTGAAGAGCAGGGACTCAGTATACATTGTCTTGTTTCCAGCTTTTAAGGACACCACAGTATTATCGATTTCAGGATATTCACATAAATCACATAAATCACTTCCTCAAGTTATTCTCATGTTTCCTTTATGCTCTCCCATATTACTGTCCCCCTGTATGTGTGAACACAGGGAAGACTTAATGGTGAATCTCCATATGCATAAATTTTCCATGAAGGTAAACTGGCATTAGGTACTTTAGTAGTAACAGCAGATTTACACAAAACAGTTGATTTTCAGTAGAAGTAAGGATGAAAGAATCTCTTCCTTTGAAAATCATGTATGTTTCACAGAATCTTTTGGTAAAATAGAGGATTCTTTTTTGAAAATTTGTTCTTGTACCAATACAAGGGGTCTTTCTACATCCTGCATAGCTGTTGTAATCCCTACAAAAGTATTTATAGGATAATGCATTAAGCAAACTTACAGCTTTCCAGCTGCATTATACATGTTTGCACATCCATTGGAAAATTTTTGAGATCCATCGGACAGGACAGTATTAAAGTCAATCTGAAAGAACACAAAAAAAATATTAAAAATATACCACAAAAATGCCATAGAACTGCACAGGAAAAATGCATGAAAACCCTGGAAGTCATTAGAAATAGAAGAAATTGCATTTTTTCATTAGGAAGCTCTCAAAAGGGCTGTATATTAGCTGAACACATTTCACTCGCTCACCCTATTATGACCATGTGGAAAAAAACCATAGACTTTCAGAAAAACAAATTTTTTCAGTTGGGTTACCTAACTTTATGAGAACTCTAAAGGAATGCAGCAACAGCATGTTTTTTGTGCTACAGCAGAATTATTGTACTGTTACAGTATTTCAAATCATTGACATAAAATTTACCCAGACTTGCAAGAATTTCGTAACAGATGTCAGCTGCAAATTATGGTGGCAAAGTAATTTATGTGTTATTGTCCTAAAATAAGGTGCTTAAATTGTCAACACAAAGGTTTAAGATAACATTTAATGATATTGATGGCAGGCTGAAATATGCCTGTAATTTTGAACTGCAGCTGTGTTTCACGTTAGTCCTGGTACTTCCTGTGAAATACTTTGCAGTCTATAGGCAAAAGAGGTATTTTTACATTTTGTATCAATACAATAACTTATCTTTAAAGTGATACTTCTCAGAGGAATGAGAAAGAAGAATGTAACAGGTAAAAACACATGTTTTCCCTCACTGGCCATGTTTAGGTATCCATTCATAATTCAGGGACATGACTGCACCTTTCTTCTTGCTAGAAAATATCTTGTGTGAAAATTTTGCCCCATATTCATTTATCAGTTCAGTTGATAGAAAATCGGAGGGCCTTGAGATCAATTCCTTACACGTAAGGCTTTCCTAGAATGGCAGTGCTCTAATCCCCCTCTCTCAAACCCATTTCCCTGTTTTTGGCATTGGGGCTAAAGGGAAGTGGGCAGTAGGTGGCAACTATAGCTGTATATTTCTTTCACCCTACTTTTTCCCCTCTCCAAAGCTTCTTGATTCTTTGTTGCTGCACCTTCTGTTTAGCCTGTCAGTGACAGGGCTGCAGGGGGAGAGTCCAAGTAGGGAACTCAGACCCAGGCTCTATTCCCATGCTAAAAATGGTTCCAAATGCAAAATCTGATTAGTAGGCTAGTAACAAGGCAAGTCATTTCAGAGAAGAGGCATCTGGACTTTACTTTGTGCTTTGGTAAATATTTTAGGATTTTATATTAAGTATTCATTGAATCAGGAACTGGACCCTTCTCATTATTTTCTTGCCTGAATCATTCCAATGCAATTGGGGGGGGAGACATTAGGGAATGAAAGGAAAAGCAAATTTCGAGACTTTTTTTTTTCTTTTAATATCGGCAAGTTAGCAATTAGCATGTCTTCCCTCATCAAAAGCTTAACTGACTCAAATTCACATAACAACTCAACTAGATGCCAATTATATGATTTTAAATCTGTTTCAGAAATTGTAATAGTTCTTAATTAAATCATGGCAACATAAACTTTCTGGCTCCATAAGAAACACAGGAGCTATCTGGCATCTGTTTCATCACAGTCAATGTTTGCTTTTATAATTTAATATTATAATATTTCTCATGTTTTGTTTTTTTCCCCCATTTCATGTGACCATGAACTAGGTCTGAATTCTATTGAAGTTGCAATGCAAACTTGTTTCAGTTGAGTGGCGGTGTCTATACTTTGTGTTGTACATAGCTGGAGGAAGTAGGGCAAGGAGGAGGAGTTGTCTGATTAGAGTGAAACAACTGCCAGTGCCTCTCAGGGTGACTCAGACAGTCTGGAGAGAATTGATTTAGTTCTACTTTCTACTTGGGTCTGGAGAAGGAATCCTTTATACTTGCTTTCCATCTGTTTCTAGTGACAGAATACATGTTGTGACACTGAAGAATGATTATGTTCCCAGACTGGCAGGCTAACCTCCTTTTGGATATGAAATGCTTGTAGGAATTTTAACCCAACCCTTTCTCCCTGTGTAAGCTTGACAAGATGCTGCCCACTTGCACTGGAAGGAGGGAGGAAGGAGACTCCCTTGCCACTGAGACTTTCCACGCAAGTCACAAACATTTTCTTTTTCTCTTAGTATACAAATTGTTCTACAGATTCCTGATGTCTCTTCAAAAAGTCCAATTACCCACTAATACAGTGTCACAAAAGCATGCAAAGCAAAACACTAAGTGGATGAGAGGTATATTTATTTTGAAAAGTGTAACATTTTGTACAAGTAGGTCACTGTATTAATACCAAATCTGTATCATGTCTAATGGGTCATTAGTATATTTATATCCAATGTGTTTCTCATCAAATCAGGTTTTTCAAGGTAGTGGTAAAATGCCTACTAATGTCTGTATTAATAAAACAAAAGTGGGGAGAAAAGAAGAGAAAAGAAGTAGGATAACTTGATTTTGTCAATACTTATGATTGCTGCTTATAGCTTCTTAAACCTTTTCAAAAGTTTACTTTCCACTTTTCCCTCCATCTCCAGCAGTAAGTGAACTATTCTTTAAATGTCATGCTTCCCAAACAGGTCATGTTTCCATGTTGAAGTGCAGCTGCAATATCCAAAAAGGTGAAAAAGAAATAACATTGGATTGTCATTACATTGGAGGCTACAGCACGTGAAACTCATACATAGGCCAGCTCAGATTATAATACTCCAGGATTATTTGCTCTGTGCAACTGTCCTAGCAACTCTACACTCAGTATCTGTACTTTAAAATGGCAAAGATACTTTTCTTATTATTTTTACTATGTGCATGCCTAATGAAGGATCATTTTCTATTTTAGTATTAAGAATGAACAGTAACGATGATGAAGTTCTGTATTCAAAACTCACAACTATTTTAGTAATAGTTCTGCATGAAGAAACTGAAGCAACTGAAGAAATCTGTTAACAATTCTTGGGTACTCTTTTCAGCTTCTATCTGAAAAAAAATCATTTGATTAGAGACTCACCTGATGGAATAAAGTACATTTCCATTTTTGAAAATTCGCAACAACTTATTATCTGTTGTAACTTCATGAAAGTTGGCACCTTTTTCATTTGCAAAGAACAAATCAGGTTTCCAAATTGAATCCAGCATGGATGGATCTAAGTCTAAAGAGTCATCTGGATATTCGCTGTATGCGAGGCGTGGATCATTCCAATTCTGACGGAGAAAGATGTTCACTCGGTAATCCTGAATGAAAGAGAAGACAAGCAAAGCTTTATCAAGCATGGGGATTTAGCTTTTATTTCATTTCTTAGCCATGTAATCCCCTGTCCATCTGTGGATGACAAAAGAATTACTTAGCTGAATGCCAGTGTGATACCTATTTGTATTAGTGGGGGCACAATGGATAAGAATAAAGATGCATTTCAGGGCAATTGAAAACATCCCAAGCTAAGGAAATCCAACCTCCATGTATAGTTCATATAACTCCATGTAACTCTACCCCTACAGCAGCTTTGTCTTGAAATCAAAATGAGAGAAGCATAAACAGTTTTATGGAGTTACCTTTTTCTGCCCAAGTCCTGGCGGGGGCATTCTTACTTCCCTCTCTTAGGCAGTGAGAATCTCTCCCGCTGTAAGGGAAGTTAAATTAATTTCTTTTTTCTCTCTCTAATCCTTACATATTTTAGATCCACCACTTAGATTTTCTGTGCCTCAGTTCCCTATTGAAAATTGTGTGAGCAGTAGTTTACTATACAGCTGTCTGAGGAGGACACATGTTCTTCCTCTGTTCAAATAGAGTGGAGATCATATAAGTCCTTATGATAAATTAGCTTAGGTACAAGTGGAGTCACCTTAATTCCTACAGACAGTCCTGTCTTAGTCAAGGATGCTTTTATAGAAAAGACGAGTAGAGTGCTTTGAACTTCTGGAAGCCATTTTGGAGTCATATCTACTCTCTGTCAGAGAGAATGTTGTATTTATGGCTGGACACTTTCTTAAAACTTTACTATTTAGAAAGATGAAAATACTTGGTTTTAAATAAAAGCAAGTATTAGCATCTCATTACATTATATCAAGAACTGAGAGAATTGAGACACTGAGCATAAGGACTATACTTTTATTGGTCCTAATATGATTTTCCTCATTATTTGCACTACTGCATTAATGAAAGAAGATTAAAAATAAAATAGAAAAAAGATGTTAGGAGCAGAGGTGAAATGGGAGCTGGTTGTCAGAGCTTACGTGACACTTCTGAATGTAATAGAATTAAATAACATCACTTGTTTATTGTTAAAAAAGACAACAAAACTTAATTTTAAAATGAAATCTTTTTGATTCAAAATAGGAAATGAAGTGTTCAAGGCTGAGCAATACAATTTGGCCAATAACTATGGGTAGTATCGATTAGTGGTTAGAATAACTAGTTAAAACCCCACTGGTGTAGAAGTTGTGGGTACTGTTAAAATTCCAGTGTCGTATCAATATTTGGTCTTATGAAATTTGGAACATGCAGCCATACAGTTGTGAGAATCATGCCAACTGACATAATAAAGGACAACAGGAACCTCAATATGCAACATTTACTCATAAGAAATAGTTTTTTATATCTTCTTGTTTTGGTCAATTTAATTACTCGGCTTGAATAAGGGTAGCCAAATATGCTAAAAACATGTTTACCAAGCATTTTCTGCTTGATAATCAGAAAACACTGCATAGCATATAAAGAAAGTCCCAGTAGATGATTCTATGTTTGTATAACTTTTTAAATTTTCAAGACAAAGCCAGTAAGTGGAAAACTACACCTGGAGAATGAAAAGAATTCAGATTATTGTTTTCAGCAGACATGAAAAAGGCTCTCTGGCCAAACTGAAGTGTATAACATTAGATGCCAGGTTTTGTTAATCAATTGCTCTTTAAAAATAAATAGTTAATTTGTTAAACCCCCTTTCAGAAAAGGAATGAAGGAAATTTTCCTTCTCTTTTCATCATGGCTAGTGACAGCCTCAAGAGCCATAAAATGTTCATAAGTGAAGCTGTTGGTATTTTTCACAATTAGCACCATGGCATGATGAAACCAGAGCCAGGGATTTGTATTTTACAGATGTAGAAACAAACTTTTTTTTTTTTTCCCCTAAAGTAAGCCAAAACCCTTAGACAGACTTGTGCCTCAGTGTTCATAGAACTGAGCTTTTGGTGTCTTCCATGCAGCAAGAGGACATATTACTCCCTGAAATACCCTTATTTCTTTGCATGATATCCCAAATACCATGTAGTACCAGTTCCCCTTCCAAATTCCTGTATACAAACAAAAGACCAGGAAGAAGTAGGATGTGGGAGCAGTGACGACTCTACTGCCTGTCCCAACATGTGGAATCCTTGCACTGAAGAAAATATTATCTCAAAACCTGGGGCACTGGGTGTGAGCACTGCAGCTCTCAGGACTTCACCTGCACTTCAGCCAAACCCAAGCTTTACCTTTTAATTTGTATAACCTGAAGTATGCTTATTTATTTCACTTTTCTCTGTAGAATATGATGAGTTTAAGAGTGGGCTTACTTATAGAGTAAGGTATTTCTCATATGTATAAAACAGAACAGGTGAAAAATGCATAGCAGAAAGTTGAAATGTAAACAGAAAATGGAGGAAGAAAAATGGAGGAGTCTGTTTGAGGTTATATTAAGCTATTCTGTATGTCAGTTTGCCTAAATTTTATGGGTTTAAATTGTTTCCAGCTTTTAAGATGAAAAACATCCTAGTTAAATTTTTCTCTGAAGCAATTGAAGCTATTTTTCATTGTTCTCTCCCCTGAAAGGTCTGACTCAAATTGGCTCTCATTATTCACTAAAAAAATTCCTAATCTATAAAAAGGAAAGAGATACATTTGATTGCTATTGTATGAAGGACAAGTATTCATTGCCTCAGTTTATAATTACACATTGTAAGCATAAGGCTTAACTGCTTTAAACAAGTAGGGTTGTTTGATGCAAACACAGAGACCAGAATTAAACTGCCAGAATTGATTTGTACTCCTACAAGAGGATTACTATTCTCACATGCTACTTGCCCAGAGGGGTGACTCCTAATTCAAATAACTCTGTGCTGGGGAGGTCCCTTGAGGGGAGAGAGAAATCATCATTTAAGCATGTGGTGTCTTCCACAGCCACTTCTATAACCTCAAGGCTGCCATCGTCTGAACAGCTGCCATACCCTGGTTCTACAGAATGAGATTGCTTTATGGGTCTGCACTTGCTCCATTGTCCTTCGAAACCCTTAGCCACAGGGTGAACTTTCTTAGAGGGTCAGGATACTGTTCATCTGCTTCATAGGGCTCAATAAAATAAAAATTGGGAGATCAGGTAATTGCTCTTTGCTGTCCATGCTGAGGCGGAGGCCATTATGGACTCCAATACTAACATTTTGATTAGCAATTTCCAGCACACAGTAAAATCTAAAATACTTACAGAATATGTTGATTTATTCTTCATTATACGATACAGATAGAGCTATATTCCCATAGCATACAGAATATAGCTAGACTGCTTTATGAAAACTTTTGTACAAATCCTCAAGGTATTAATTGCCTAACTCTCACTGGTTTCTTTAATGCATTTTTAATATGCACTGTATGTGGAATCCTTCTAGATCTGAGAGAAAGAGATATAAAAGCAAATTTCCAAAATATGCCCTTCATTTGAACATAGCATATCACCTGCTCTCACAATTTTTGAATGCTGTCATTTGAACAGTTAATCAAATTTTCATGCATAAATGAATAATCTTCCAGAACTCTACCTGTTGCACTTCCAAATATTATTATAATTTTGACTAATATATCCATCTAAGTGAAATCTAGACTTGTCTTATTTTTGCTTTATTTGTTTTAACTCACTGTAAAATTTTAACATGGAAATCCTATGAACTTTCCAAGAACACTGCTAAGAGTAAATTTAAAGGCACTATGAGAAATATTGTTCTTGTGAAGAATTTTTTTTTAATCTGGTAACTATGGCATTTTGTTGTAATGAAAACTGGATATGGTCCTCTGTTCCTAAGAAGATATCACAGACATACTGGAAAGAGCTGCTCACATGAAGGCTAAAGAGAGGAATGAAAACTAGCAGGGTGACCTGGAGTAAAAGTCAGGCAGAATGAGAGAGAGCTACTAGAGACATTGGGGGAACAGGGAATAATTCAAATGGTTTAAGTAGGTGTTACAAAGGAGAGGAATATGTATCAAGAAGAATAAGACCCAAGGGAGTCCTGTCCTAAAAAGGTAGCCAGTGTCTTGAAGAGATACTTCAAAGTAAGTATAATTTTGTAACTACAGTGGGCTATTTGTTTTATTGAATTTATCGCCCCATAAAGAATGAGACTATTTGGTCACACAGTTGTGTGTGTGTAATCAGCCTTCTCCCTCTATCTATGCCCCCCCCCCCCCCCCATATTTTAT